GAAGATCAGGATGATATGACAGATGTTAATTATTGGTTTACTATGTGTTGGAGAAAATGGATGATAGACAAGGACTTCCTACACAGGAAAGGGAAGAAAGTCTGATGATAGTGAAACTATGCAACTATATAGGTAGATTTATTAAAGCTTTTAGAATGGTGCTCATCAAAAAGGGCAAGAGACAGAACATAAGTGCTAAAACAATAAGGCAACCTGCACATATATAGTTAAACACACTTGCACAGTTGAGACAGTCTCACCGACCACACACAGTAGTGAAGTCACCAGTATCTATGTGAGCTATACTCCACTGCACTGGAAATCAGAGGAGGAATAGCACATAAACACACCAACTTCCTGGAGATTTCACTCGGTGGGGATATGAATTAAATCATGGCATGAATATGAAACTGTCTATGGGGAGGGAAGGCCATATTAAGAGATTAGAAAGCAGAACCAACACCCAATTATGGGGGCTTTGTAAGTTTGGTACAGGAATACCAAACTGCCAACTGTGGAAAATATATAACCTCACAGCACTAAGTTGGACATAAGAATCCTGTGTCCTGAGCTTTTAGATCAGGGCTGAACTTTGATCCACTAGCGATACCCTTTTCCTGGGCAACAAGAAATGACCCAGAACCTCATGCTACGTTCCCAGCACAGTACACGGGTCAGTCTTGAATGACCTTCTTTGCATGGTGTAAACTGAATTCCAGGGAACTGTACACAAAAGAAGCTCGCTCTAACTAAAATACTTCTTCCAAATGGAGATAACCCTATTATGTGGGAAAGGCCTACTGTCTTCCACTGCAAGCTGAGCTCTGAAGACTGCCCGCCTATTGCCTTCCTGAAGCATACTCAGTAAATAAGGTTTCTATTTTGGTCCACAAAGTGAATTCATTCACAGCTTGAGGATCCTGTCACTGCTAATGTGGTGACTGAATTATGAGTCAAAAGCAATATATTATGATAATCATCTGTTTTTGTCTTGAAGAAAAAGTGTTCGGGTAGGGTTCTATGATCTGCCAAGATCCTGGACACCTTGAATGTAGTGTCTGCTGCTTTCTGATTCTACCCTATTAGCATGTTGATGTATGCAAATATATCACAAAATAAAGACCCCAAGAGTCTCCACAGTGACTAAACCTAAATGTATTTGGTTGTGCAATTATTTTACTATTATTATATCAATAATACATTTTGTGACAAGGGATAGGGTTAATTCTTATGTTTGTTTAGTTGTTTTAACATTTCTCACTAACACGTTATTAACAGTTATAGGAGGAAGAAGGGGGCAATTGTTTTTCTTGATATGTTCCTGGCATTTGGTCCTTGAATAAGAGAAAGAATTAGGAACTGAAAGAACTGTGTGTTCTCTTCAAAAACACTTTAATAATCATTTCCTATTTGGCAAAATTTTTAGCCCAGTCTCTGATATTGCTCAAAAGATGTTACCCTATGTTAATGTTCTTGTTTGGAATGATGAAGAAACCCTGGCTCCTACTTTATTTGCAGGGTAGAGTAGGTGGATAGACATCCTGGAACCCACTGAATGCAAAGGTTCTGTGGTGGGGTAAAGGGAGGAGCAAAGTCAGTGAGGAAGCAGCAGGATTGTTCTATGGGGGTTATTTTAGAACAAGAATATTTGCTTTGACTCTATTATTTAAATATTTACTTTTTATTCAAACAAGATATCTTGACATGACTATTTTATTCAAATAAAATATCTGAATATGACAAAGATCTACTGTATCTTAGCAAAAAGAAAAGTTACAGTACTTGCTAAATTATTTTTTATTCTCATCATGACCAACTTTCTGTTTCTTTTCAAATTCTGTCTTCTTTTCCTTAGCTCTTTTATTTAAGTTTCACTTGAGCTGAAAATTGTTCCCTTCGAAATGAAATTGTTTTAGATTTTTCCACAAACATTGCCATGGTTTTAATTTTTAAATCCCTATAGTGAAAATGCATACACATGAACAGACACACGAACACACCCACACACATACACACATGCACACACACACAGAGCGATAGAGAGAGAGGTAGAAATAGAGAGAGGTAGAGATACACATACATATGCTCACAAACATATTCAGGCAAAAAGCAAATAGTACCACAACTATCTCTATAAGCATTGATTTCCACAGCGTACCTTTTCCATATGCCTAAAGTTATTTTTCAAGTTGATGGGTAAGCATTACAGAATTTAAATGGGATTCAGAAAAAAAAAAAAGTTAGTGTCCGAAGAGTGCAAAGAAGAAAATTAATTACAAACAACCTGATGAGAAGCTGTAGTTTAGAATACATCATGCCACGTGTTTAATTCCGACAGTAATCTAAAGGTCTATTTCACAAGAAAAATGGTTGTTAGTGAATTTCTTCTAGATGTGAAATACAAATTAGTGTGCATGTTAGTTTGATTTAGTTTTTAATGTCTAATTTTTCCTCAGGTGTTTATCTGTTTCATGTTTTCATTTCGCCTTTTAAACAGTCATGCTGTGTGCATGCTGGTCTGCTTTTCTACTGCAGTCGGCACTGATTGGTTGGGAGAACTGTTCCAGGCATTGGGTAGTTACTTAAAAGCACTCCACGTAAAGGAATTCTAAAGCTGTTGTAAAAGGGACTGAACTGTACAGGTCAGACTGAGTATAGCCAGACTAGACTGTCTCAAAGGTCAGCCATCCACTCTTACTTCTATGGCATTTTGTGGCCTTTGGTGTTTCAGCCTGGTCTACACTTAAAAAAAAACTTTGAAGTGCATGACTTGGGTTACAAATTATTTGAAAGGAGAAGATGGATGGGTCACACATTTCTATTTTACTTGTACTTTTAATCTGTATAGACACACACACACACACACACACACACACACAAAACCTTTCTGAAATCTAGGGTACCTCCACGACAAGTTACTTGTGGAAAATAAAATAAAATCTATATCCCTCATGATGCATTTCTGAAATTTATTCCCAATTAGCCTCAGCCCTCTGTTTTTTAATGGGGTAAAATTTGGCCCAAGGGAACAGTAAATGCTGCAAGCTGATTTAAAGTCACTGGCTGGCTGATCAGTTGGGATTGACAAATCTCTATTCAGCCATTCAGTAATATGAAAAAGTAAAACAGGCGATTATAAGTTATCTACTACTAATAAATATTAAAATTTTCTAATAAATAGTATTCATATGGTAGAACGCAAATAGCACACCAAAGGAAAAAAAATGTGTTGCAAAAAGAACAGATGAAAAGAAAGGGAACAATGTCTTTAAAACCATCTTTGACCATTTCAGCATGGTCAAACCTGGAATCAATCTCAATAAAATTTCCAGGCATTATTTTTTGCAGGATATAAACTTGGGTGTGGGAGTGAGACAAACCTGGAAACAAATTTTAGTTTCTGATTTCTAGTTGGCCTTGGACAAGGCACACACACACACACCCACCCACCCACCCACACACACACAATTTATCTCATAATAAAATAATCCTGACTATTCCTGACATGGCATGCCAAATAATTGAATTGTCCCAACTTCCTTTTTAACTATTATGACTAAGAGGGTTCAGGTGCAGCTTTTAATGATGTATTATGTGGTCGTAAGTTCCTTGGAAGAATTGTTTCGAGGCAAATTAAAGACAGTTGATGGGTAAGGTCCTGCTTTTCTTAGATTTCAATGTAAATGCCAGTAGAAAGGTCATAATCTTCAGGACTCAAAGATTAGAATTTAAGGAATGAAGAGATGCCTTCAAGGGTAGAAGCCCTTCCTGTGCACGTATGAAGACCCAAGTGCAGAACCCGTGCCAAGCAGGCTGCAGTAGTGTATCTCTCTAAACTCACTGTTCCTATTATGAGCTGGAAGGTGTTGAGGCAGGAGAATCTCTGGAGGCTTGGATGTCAGCTCATCTGCTGTATGCACCGGGGCCCAACACAACGAGCTTGTTTTAAACAAGGTGAAAGAGAAGACTGATGTGAAGTTTCTCTTTCCCTTCTGTGAATATACTGTTTCATGTATATCCCCTAAGTCTAAAACTCTAATGGTACACACAGACACACATACACACACACACACACACACACACACACACACACACTCAAACTCACACTCACACTTAATTTGGAAAACCTTGGAGAATGAACCTGGTGGTGAGGGTACATCTATCCCAACTCATATCCTTCCATTTGACCAGTTTGGGTCCTCATTGTCTCTGAAAGATACTGGGATCACTGTTGGTTCTGTGATTTTGTTGGAGAAGTTTTTGCTTGGCATAATGAATTTGATTAATCTAGAAGGTTTTAAATACTTAGCTAAAATGAATCTTCCTCTTTCTTCTCAAAAAAGAGTCTATTTTGCTTCACTGGTGGTCTGAGAGGTATTAATAATAACTATCATTATTTAAATACTGCTCTGTAATATACTTACTTACTTCATGCTTTATCTTCCCTAAAATGCTATGAGTTAACATACTATGTCTGTCATGTCCAATGAACCTCTCCTGAATAAAAGTAGTCATGGATGGAATTCATTGATTTGTATTCAACTAATCAATCAGTCTTGCCTTTGCTATAATTCCCTTAAGTCTACTAAATCACTGGATCTCTCAGTTGTAAGATACAACACCTTTTCTGACGGGTCAATCAAATGTACAAATGTGTATAGTTTGTAGATAATAAAAGATAAAGACATATCCAAAATGGTGAGTCAGAGCAATATACTTTAGTTGGTCATAGGAGGCTCAAATCAAAATGACTGACAAGTAGAAGTTGCAGATACTGTTTCATCTGTAGGTGTGGTTAACTCAATGATTCAGAAACATCTGTATCTTGGTCATTTAACACACATTTTGGGGACATTAGCTTTTGTCTCAGTACGTGCACAGAAGTAGCTCTAAGTGGCTTCCACATCTCCAGGCCACAATGGCTCACACTATCCCACACTGAGAGATATGGTTGTTTTCATATGTTTATTTATCAGTGGACAATCGTTTTTAAAACTTACCGCAATAAACTAGTCCTTATGCTTCTTTGGCCGAAGTTTGTCCACATCACTTTTCCACGTCAATCCTGGGGAGGAAAAAGATGAAATATCTTGTTGGATAAAGTGATTCAAGTTCCAAACCACTGGGTGGGGTGGGGATCAGTTGTCCTTCTCAGACACAGGTATTTGAGGGAGACATCTACACGATACTGAATTGGTGCTACAGAAAGGAACATCCGCTTCCATAGGTAACCACCATCTCTGCACTGTGTTCATTCACATTTCTGAGTGTTTATATTTTTCTAGTAAGCTCTTTGCTAATAATAAAATGTTTTGTCTTTACTATTAAATCTTTGTAACTAAATGCTCTTAGATTTTATTTGAAGGTTGTTTTTTTTTTGTTTTTTTGTTTTTTTTTTTTTTTGTAATTCTTCATAATTAGTGACCAAAACATTCATCAATGAATACTTTCTTTTTATAAAACTCTCAGATCAAGGAATGGAGCATTGGTTGAATTAATTAAAGATAGAAAAGTTAGTTTCTTCATAGATGTCACATTTGTAGCTAATGTTAACCATTTTGTGTATTATCCTTCTTACTTAATATACTTCATATCCTTCCTGTCTGGAGAGGGAAGAATATGTCAGCTTGATTAAAAAAAAGAAATTATCTGTTCAAGATCTCCAGGTAACAGGCCAAAAAGTTGCTAGCATAGGCTGGCTAATCACAAAATTACAAATCAGAGAAGATGACATGACTAACACAGACCAGTTTAGTAGCCATTAAGAGGCAATGAAATATATGCCAAAAGAATAAATGAACTAAGACTGCACTATTGAGGTAATACCAGCCATGTTCCAAATGAAATGGTCAGGGTCAACATCATTCTCTAAGGATCTTAAAGGAAATGTTCATATTTATAGATGAATTAAATAGATAAGTTATAAGCATATCTTATTCTCTCATAACATAGAGCTGTATATTTAGTGGACTGTTGTGGGTATTCTGGGAATGTGAAAGAGCAACTGACAAGGTCACAAAAGAACTCAAAGAAACTTTGCCAAGTCTTTGTGTCTGCTTAGTCCTAGGTCCTTAAATTTGTCTATCTGTCTTCACCTTAAGATCCCTAGACAGGCTGCATTCATCGTCATATTAGCTACTGAGACTTAGGAGGGCTTCTAGCCTTTTCTCTTGTCCATTCTTCATATTGTAGTCCAGGCGACATTTTAATATATATAAGGAATGTAAAATATTTTCTGTAGATATATCTTCTTCATAGGTAATTTTTCTATTACCATAATTTTTCATAAAGTATGAAAAAGATCCTTTGGTCATAATCTTTTCATTTACTAATCAATGCATAACCTTGTGAGAGGTACCTTCTTTTAAAAAGTAGTTTATTAATGGCAAGGTCATGGCTAACAATGTAATGCACATCTGGGCAAAGTTTGGTGACACAAATTTTCTTAGTAAGGGGTATTATTCCTTATTACATTCATGAACATGAGACAGCCTGCCAGCACTGAAACGGGGGGACCATTTGAAATAGAACATTTGACAAAATTAAAAATCGCAAACATTTTCAAACGTGGACACTGCCTAAGTCAGGAAACGCTGACATTTGAGCGCTGAAGAAGGATCACATAGTGTCACCTTGTCCCATTTCAGCTGGGTCTGCATGAATCAAGGTGACCAGAAAAGTACTACGAGTATACAAATGAATACCTTGCAAGTAAGCATAGCACCCTCAAGAAAAGGAAGGACACAATGGCCCTGGCTAAAATCAGTCATGACTCCTCGTTCTCCTCGGTACATCATAGAATCACAACTCTTTCTCACATCATCAAGGTCTGCATAATTCCCCTCCAATCTAGATGTCCCCCTTTCTCTCTCTCTCATCATTGGCTCTTGCATAGGATACATTACCCACATGGATTATTAATCCGTTCTTTGCGCGTGCCAGGCTGTCCCTATCTGCAGGTACTCAACACTTATTTTTACACTTTACCCTCCGAAATGAATATTTTAGTCTCTGTCTTCTTTGAATCGACTCATTCTAGAAAAAGGCATCAGAGTGTTCTCTTTCTCTATTGTTATGGTTTGTGTCTGAAATATGTCCCACGGGCTCTTGGGTCTGAACACTTGATCTGCGACCAGTGTTCTGAGAGGTTGTGAAGCCGGCAGCAAGTAGGGCTTCACGGTGAAAAGTAGATAATGGGACTGGGGGTCCTTAAGAGCTCTAATATGTCCTCAGTTCTGGTTCAGTTTCATTTCATGATCCACAGAGATATAAGCATGCATTCTTTTGCTCCTGCTGACATAATCACAAAGCATGATGTTCTCCTTGCCACGATTTACTTTATGCTCTCAAACCACAATTCCAAATTTGTCCTTTCTTCCGTGTTTCTTTTGAGCATCACTATTTTTCCATATTATTCAATACATTTTTTCTTTTTTAATTTTTATTAATTACAGTTTATTCACTTTGTATCCCTCTGTACCTCTCTCCCTCCTCCCCTCCTAATCCCACCCTCCCTCTTCCCCACCTGTGTCCCTCTCCCAGTCCACTGAAAAGAGAGGTCCTCCTCCCCTTCCCTCTGATCCTAGTCTATCAGGTCTCATGAAGAGTGGCTGCATTGTCTTCTTCTGTGGCCTGGTAAGGCTGCTCCCCCCTTGGGGGGAGGTGATCAAAGAGCAGGCCAATCAGTTCATGTCAGAGACGGTCCCTGTCCCCATTATTATGGAGGCCACTTGGATACTGAACTGCCATAGGTTACCTCTGTGCAGGGGTTCCAGGCCATCTCCATGATTTACAGCAAGAAACCCAGAAGCAGGGCAGCTGTCTCCAGGACTTCTCCAGGTGAGAGGAGAGCCCTCTTGACTAAAAACGACCACAGTTATTCAATACATTTTTAATTAGAATTACATCACTTTCTCCCCTGGAAGTCCCTCCAGATGTACTCCCATGAGGCCCCTCCCATGTCCCCATTATGTCAAGTTGATAGGCTATTTTTAATTTATGCACATACACTCATGTGCAAATATATGTAAACACAGTGTGCTAAGTCCATTTTTCTTGGTAGTATGTTGTGGTTGTTTGAATAAGTTTGGCCCCCATAGATTTATGTGTTTGAATGCTTGGCCCATAGGGAGTGGCACTCTTAGGAGGTGTAGCCTCATTGGAGAAAGTGTGTCACTGTGAGGATGAACTTCTGCCTTTCGTTCAAGATGTAGACGTCTTGTCTCCTCCAGCACCATGTCTTCCTGCATGCTGCTGTGCTTTCTGCCATGATGATAATGGACTGAACCTCTGAAACTGTAAGTCATCCCCAATTAAATGTTTGCCTTCATAAGAGTTGCACTGGTCATGATGTCTTTTTATAGGAATAAAACAATATGACACGCATATATGGTTTCAAGGGTAGACTCTTCATTAGAGAAGCAATAAGGGGCTCATCTCTTGGAGAGACTAATTCTTAAGTATTTTATTACAGTGACAAGAAAAGTAACAAACCAACTCATCCTTTTCCTTTCTCCTCCCAGTCCCACACTTTCTTTCTCCCTTTTATACATCGAGAATGCTGTTTTTCTCCATTCCAGAAAGAGGATCCTCATCAATAATTGAATCTGCTAGATCCTTGATTTTGGATATCCTGGTCTCTAAAATTTCACGTAACATTTGTATGTAAGCCTAATCAGAAAGACAAACAAATAACGAAAGACAAATTGAGCAGGTTTCCCAAAAGTAGCTCCTTATTTTAAAGATGATTTTCTAAGCACCCAAGCCAAAGCAAGGCCCTCTTGGTAATTCTGCTCAAAACACTTGTTTTCTGTCATTAAAACTGATTAATAGTTAGGCATATTTTAATTAAAAAAATACTTATCATTTCCAGTGGATTTCAAGTTCTATGGATGGAAGAGCCATTCCTTTTTGAGCACCAGAGTGCATTTACCCTTAGCTTTGTGTCATGCAGCTGTAGTCTCTGAATTAATATTAGCTACCTCGTTGATGCCAAGGATAAATGAATGATTTAAAGGATTAATTACTTTCACAACACAAAAGTTCTCATACTAGATAAGTCCTCAAAAAGTTCACCTAAGACAACTCATCCATCTTTTGCACAGTCTAGGCTGATAAAAAGGGCGACAATCATCTGTAAAACGTAGTGGGACACAAATAGTATGGGTGACAGGCTTCTGCCACACAGGCATCAGCTAGGACTGGCCTTTTCTCATAACTAGTAAATATCACTCCTGCTAGTAGCTGAGATTAAGATTTTCTGAGAGAATATGGTAAAAATTTGCTTGATTCCACCATACAAAGGTTTTATAGCATTGCATGCAAATTCACCCATGGAACTCATTTCAAGATGCTAAAGTAGACTATGACAATGATGCATAATGTAAAGATATCGCATTGTAATGATCTTGGAAATAACGCCATTCTTCTATGTTGGAAGCAGCACCAAAAGCATGCCGGAAAATATGAAAGATACCTTTTTTTTTTTATAATCACAGACACTGTTCAAACTGTAAATTGCTTGTTAATTTGTTCTCTTTATCTATCAGAATAATTTTCCCCTTTCAGTGACAGCTCTAAGGGCTGGGAAAAATATAGCGCAATGCCCATGCAGGTTATGTCCTTATACATACTTTTTGGATACACAAGTGTTCTTTCAAAAGCAGCTATTATGATCAGGCACTCCTCTGTGTGTTGACTGCATGGCAGGCCTGGTCCCTGCCCTCATGCACTTAGTATCTAGAGCCCTGTAGTGTGAGGTGATTATACATGATTACACATAATTACACATAATTATCTAATTACAAATTGTGATATGCACTAGAAAGTAAGATAAAAGTGTGAAGAAGGCATTCAGCAAGGGTGAGGCAGTGAAAAATCAATATATATTTCTGCTTTAGGGCTATGAACATCATCAGAGCCTAATTTAGTTTAAAGCCACAGGACAGTGTTAGTTCTGAATAAACACACTTAAAACAGAATAGAAGGAAATCAAAGCAAGCAAGCAAGCAAACAAACAAACAAAAAACATCTCACATATTCACCAGAGAACTGTTGCTCTGCATC